TTCTTTTTTTTTTTTTTTTTAAGCTCTCATCCTCTACTTTCATGTATCAATACTTCGAATCGTTGCGCGTGTTCAAGTAGTCACATCAGTACACAGCAGCTCGTCCTAGGTTTGTTATCGTTTTGTAAGAGCACGGTAGGTTCGGTTGGTTGGTCCTTGGAGCGTGAAATTTCTACAGGCAATCCCGAACTTCCATTATCTTTTTCAGAAGGTACATTGTCTGCGTTAGCCGCACTAGTGGACTCTTTTTGTTCAATTACAGCAGACTTTAGGGCTCCCGAATTGTTTTGTCCAAAAGACACTAATGAAGGTTTTTGCGTTGTGCTCTCTTTTCTGCTGGTAAAAGCCAATGATGAGTACGTATTGGTGCTCATAGTAGCATTAGCTGCACCTGAAGTGCCAGCGAGTGGACTCCCGGGTGCAGCAAGACTTGACCCTACACGAGCAGTAGCTGCCGTTTCTTTCCTTGTGACTTGTACACCCGCCTGTGCAGGTGGAAATACATGATTCGGATATTCGATTGGGTCACCACCACCACCACCACCACCACTATACTGTGCTATCAAACCAGACTCTGGTAGTCTAACACTCTGTGCGAATGAGCTACTATTTGATTGTGGATGCATGTCATCTACACAATAAAGACTACGTACGAATGAGCTCTTAGTAGATGGTGGATCCACACCATCATAATAATAAACACTATGTACAAATGAGCTCCTACCTGATAGTGGATCCACGTCATCTACACAATGAACACTGGGTCTGTATGAGTTCACATTCGATGGTGAATGGACGCAACGTACAGTACATCTACCATACGACATTCTACTTGCACTAGCACGCATAGAATGCGATTCAACTGGTGAGGTCACTTCTTTTCCACCTCTAAGATGTTTTGGTAACCTGGAATTGTCGTCTGTTGTAACTCCCTTTTTCTGCTTTTGTTGGCCTACCTCAGTGACATTTCGGGATGTTGCACGAGCTGCCCGCCCTCTCTTTATTCTTACATCAGAGCGATACGTGGTTTTAGTTGCTTTTGGCCAGATATTCGAGGAGATACTGTTACTAGGAGTATCGGACGGTGGGGTCAGCATTGGATGCATGCCAAGGAGTTTCACTTGTTCACTGCGTGCAGGACCACCACTAGTATTAGTCCCTCCCCGTTTCTGCGGAGTACGACGGGGTTGCCGAACCGCCGGCGCCAGGCAATTTCCTGGGAAACACATTCCACCGCCGTTGTTGGTACCTTGAGGTCGTCTTCGTTGTGGTGGTGGTTGTGATTGTGACGTCCGAACAGACGGAGTACGCGTACTGCGGATCCCCCCACCACTCCCTTCATTGTTGGTTTTACTGTTATTCTTGGTATCATCTGCCTGGATGGCCTTCCAATACTCCTCGCTCCAGTACCCCTGGTCGGAGGGGGTGCGGCGGAACCGCTGGAACTCCTCCACGAGACCGTCGACCCCATCCCGCTCCGGCGGCCGCAGGAATCCCGCGGTGTAGAGGCCAGAGGTGGAGGCCGACACCCCACGGGAGGGGCCGCACTCCACGGAGAGGGTGATGACCGGCAGGTCCCGGCCCGCCTCCAAGTCCTCCCCGCTTCCTCCGCCTCCCAAACCCCCGGGGACCCCCGCAGCCCGCAGGGCCCCAACCGTCGGCGGCTGGTAAATCACTTGCGGGGCAGACATGCGGAGACCCCGCAGATACGGCACCTGCGCAAACACATCGCAATCCGGCCCCACCTGTGAGAGCTCCACAGTGGGGTAGTACATCGCCTCAGGATAGCGAACCGTCATGGGTGTGAGATGTAGGGCATGCGGCACCGCAGAGGGTGCAACAAACGACACGAACTCTGGTGTGCCTTTCGGCTTTGAAAGGAATGAAAAAGAAAAAAAAAAAAACTATGAAAAACAAAAAAAAAGAACCCCACACCTGTTTACTTTTTAATTAGGTGATATTCTTTTTTCTTTTTTTTTTGATTTTTTGCTTTTCCTTTGGTGCTGTTGTTATTGATATGCCTTGTCTCCCCAGATCTACCAAAAGAACTAATCCCCTGGTGTACTTCAATTTTTTTTCCTTTCTTGTGCTCCCTTTTTTTCTTCTTTATTTCTTTTGAAACGTTTCTTTTTTCCCTATTACTTTCTTCTTTTCGCTTTTTTTTTTTTTTGTTGGATTTTGGTTTTTTCTTTCTTCTTTTTTTTTTTCTCTTTTCACTCTTAGAAACCTACGACGTGGCGCACAATTCCTCCTCCTTTGTTTTGTGTATACCTACGCCTGTATTTACTAGCTTCCTTCTTTCCTTCTGCGCTGAATGAATGTATGTTTATGCAGAACTGCAAGTTTGCGTATGTGTGGATATATCCCCCTTCACACCACAAAATGATACAAACTATTCCTAAAATTGAATTAGTGAGACAAGAAGATGGATAAAAATAAAAATGCAAAAAAAAAAAACGAGTAAAAACCGAGTTACTACAATAGGAAATGAGTGTGTATTTTCGCGTATATGTACCCCATGTAATATACACAAACACACACAAAGAGAGAAAAAGTGAGCAGAGAAAGAAAATAGATCGAAACTCTTAACGCTTACACAACCTCTTAGGAGAGGATTATATATCCGTCGAAAAATATTGGGAAAACGTCTCCGCTGATGTATCGCCTCCTTCATTTTCTCTTTTCCTTTCTCTATTTCTTTTCTTTTCTCTTTTTTTTTCTCCTCTTGATTGCTCTTCAGTCCTCTCGTATTTCACAGACTCACATACGGTGTTCTGCTCTTCCTCTCACAATATCCTCACCTCAAACATGCCACTCTATTTTCTTACTCTGTCATGGTACTCACATGGACGTTTTCGTCCGCATGGCTTTTTACTGCGCTTAAGAATAGCTTCACAGTACAACGGTTCACCATCAAGTGAAATGGCGGCGGCAACTGCCGTTGCCCCAATGCTTCGTGGTGGTAGAGTGCGTGAGTGTGCATCTGATATCTCCTCACTCATATCTGTTCTTCGCACCGAGGCTGATGACTCCGTCTGCCGCATCAACGATTGCTGTTTTTGTTGTTGCTGATGCTGCTCTTCTTCTTGTTGTCCCCCATAGACACCTGTTGTATCCCCTTGCAGTGCCCCTCGTACCTTATCGCGAGTAATGCCTAAAGATGCAGCTGGTGTTGGTGTGAAGGCCATCACACTCACTTCGCGCTGGTGACTGCCGCCCAACGCGTCGAGGGATCGTTCATCATGTCGACGTGCACAAATGTGCGCCGTTGTGCGGGCGACTGCCTCCTCCAACTCTTCTTCTTCATTTTGTAGTGGACAACAGTTGGGCATTGCCGTGCGACGAGGATGTGAACCGTTAACCGTAGAGGACACAGGTTCTTCACTCTCCAAAGTATAACGCAGACGATAAGAGTCATTCCCATTCGGTAAAAGACTGCGCAAATGGGAGGCGATCACCTGTACACGTTGAGCTTCAACAGAATGATGAGAAACTATTTGCTCACACATTTTAAGTGCATCCGCGTAGCGCTGCATAAGTATGTAAAAATCCATCAGTAGCAATTCAGACTTACATGTATCCGGACATCTTCGCAAAACAGACTCCACAATGCTCTCTTCAGGAGAATCTGGTACTACAAGTCCACTCAGTAGTTGAATATTTTCAGTCTGTCGTGCTGCCCAAGCAAGAGCCAATGTTGCTACACCAGCCCATATTGTGCCACGAGATCTTCGGTATAAGGCTATCAGAATAGAGGAACAACCACGTTTGTATGCCAAAAACAGTAATTTCACAGCTACAGATGAATCTGTGTTCTTTACTGTCCAAAGGGTAAGTAAACTGGGAGTGAGTTGAAAAACCAATTCATAGGCTCCGCTGAATGTTAATCCATTAATAATTCCAGGAATAATTTCCAATAATGGAGGGCACCCAAGTACATGAGTTGTACCAACTTGTGCAGGATCTACTATGTGATGATCTGCCATAAATGCCAAACGAGCCCATATACCCAAAGAAAAGGGTAAACAGAAACTGTTAAGGAATTCCACATGAGAAACATTCTCATTCTGAAAAGATGTATTGTCATATTTGGGACTCATAAAAGTACAATATAAAACAAGGATAGCTGTCTCTGGTTTTATCATTGTCATTTGTTGAACGATAGTTCTCAGTGAAATTTGATCTGTGCATCCTATATAAGAAAGAATTGCATCAATACACATTGCTGGTGCAGCGTCCTGTGATCCCCATAAACTTAATGTTTCTAATGAAGAAACTGGCATCAATTCAAACTCTTGTTCAAATTGGCTACGCAATTCTGCTTGATAATTTACTGCAGATTGTCTTGCTTCTTCTAGATTAAGTACTGAACGAAGTGGTATATCCAGTTTATCATCAACTTCTGCAGCGTAAAGAAGTTGATATACAGAAAGACGAATGTATGTTATATGAAGACGTTTAATCAAATGCATAGATACACTCTGGTATGACTGTAAATCTTTATTAAGTTCACGTTCACGGTGTAAAGTCGCTACTAAACAATCTTGTAGAATAAGTAATTGCGACAATGCTTGTTCAATAGTTTTTAAATCCATCACTTTAGAAGTCATGACTTCAAGTTCTTGTACCTTTAATTCACATTTTTCACGTAATCCAGCTAGCTTCTCTGGTGCTGCACATACCACTTGATGACTTAATAATCTATTCTGTGATTCCTCAAATTTAAGGACGCTAGCATTTTGTTGCAATGACATCACACTTAGTGGAGATCCACCAAGTTCACTCTGTACCAGAAGTTCATATGCGCATTGTTTAACCGAAAAACTATGGATGTGACCACTCCAAATAAGAATACTGTTTGACCATCCCATTGGAGTGGGAGCCTCATATAATCCATCTGTGCTATGTAAGGCAAAGGCACAGAAGTAAACAGCTGTGGGAGTTTGAATAGCAATGTGAACACCACACGTACGATTTTCTCCCGTCATGAACACCTTCACATTATCTTCCGCATCGGTTGGAAGAGACAATTGTTCACTGAAGAGTCGCACAGGAATGGTCTCCGCCTCATCCATGGGTGGTGGAAACCAATACCCACAAAGTGAGTAATCATCACACAACACCCACAGCATAGATCCAGCTGCAAACACCGCCTGTATGGGCACGGCCTCTTCCGACACCTGCAGAGAATGCTGAAGTACACACCGCAGCGAACCATCATCAGATTCCCGCAAGGCCACAAGAGCCACACTGCCATCATCCAAAAGCACAAGGGCATCATTCGGCTGTTTACCGCGAACTACACCAGTCACGCAGGCATCCCCAAACTCCCATAATGTCCACACATCGCTCTGCACATTGCACTGTGTACAGCCGAGTAAAGTGCCGGTGGTTCCGCCCGCACACACCGCAACATCGCGGGAGCCGAGACGCAAACAAATCACGGCGTGATTTCCAGTAACACCACTGGGCAATTCACACACCGATAGTAACTGCGGACCACACACGAATGCAAGAGTCGACTTACCACTGTTACTGCTGCTGCTGCTGCTGTTATTATTATTACTGTTGGCAACCACAGCCACAACACCGGCGGAATTCACCGCAGCATCCACAACGTAGCGCATCTCTGATGTTAACTTCGTCTCCGCCAGCACAGCGCCGCTGGAAGAGAAGAGAAGCACACGGCACTCACTCACACTACAGCGGCGATTCCTGCCGGTCGCAACCGCCAACACCATACCAGCATCAAGAGAACCCCAATCCACAGGAGTTGTGGTAACGCGACGAACCTCTGTCATTCTATATCAGTGTTTCTACCTCACACACGCACACACACAGTACACACTTATAATCGTGTTTCTCTGATTATTTCTTTTTACTTTCTTTCTTTCTTCCCCCGTTCTTTGTTTTCCCTCTGTTTTCGTTCTTCTTTTTCTTTTATTATTGCTTTACCCCCACCCCCTCAGTGTCCTGAGTGTGTGTTTGTAATGGCAATTCCTGATCCTTCCTAATAGTGGTGGTGTTATTTTTTTATTGTTTTGTTTTTTTTTACATTTCGCGTGATTAATGTTGACGCACATTTGTACAGTAAGAATATACAATGAGAATAATAAGAATAATACGAAGAAAAGGAATAGAAGAAATAATAAAAACAAGAGAAATCTAAAGAACGAACAGCAGAAAACCCCCTCATAGATATTTGTTACCCTGAGAAAAAGAAACAAAACAAAAAAAAAAAATTATAAAGAAGTAAAAAAAAAAAAGAAAAAACTTCTTCTCAATTCCCACATCCCACAGCCGTAAATCAAGAATACACGACCCAAGAAAGAAAGAAAGAAAGAAGAAACGAATTATAAGAAAAATAGTCAATAAAAACCAAAAACATATTCTTTTTTTTTTTTTCCTCCTCTTCCTCCTTTTACGTACTAACGGAATGCCATTTCTCTGATAGGCGGAGAAAAAGCCGTCCACACAGTTGTGCATCCTGAAGAGCATTGTGTTGAACTGATCTCCCGGCAACATCAATGCCAACAAACTGACAAGCCCGAGTCAAATCCGCCGCCTGATGTGGATAGAGTGTGCGGAATACAGACTGAGTGCACATCAGCGGTGAATGTTCATCCCACACCAGCCGCCAACCGGCATCTAAGGACTGGCGTTGAAGGAATGAGGCATCAAATCGGGCATTATGTGCGATAATAGGAGGCAATTTAAGTGTCTGGCACTTCTGTTCATCACCGCCTGATTGTAGTTGAGATTTATCATCCTTGTTATTATTATCGATGTTGTGATATTTGGTATCATTTTCATTATTTTCTTCTTCTTCCTCTCCTTTTTGTTGTGCACATGTAGTGTCACCATCTCCATTGAGTTGAGAGAGAAATACCGCAAATTCTTGCAGAATGTCTTCTATAGGTGGAGCTTTTCGCAGTTCCGCCTCTGTGTAGCCGTGTACCCGCCGGGCTCTGGGATCACTGGCCCTTGTTGGCCGCACCACACGAAAGAAGGAACGAGCGCCTAGACACCATTGTCGCAATAACGCACCATCCCAGCGAAGTTCCACTGCCGCAATAGAGACAATATCATCGTAGTTCACAGAGAACCCTGTGGTCTCAACATCAATGCAAAGTGCAGTGAGAAACGTGGGTGGGTGTTGGTGAAGAACAGTGCGTTGCAGAAGTTCAGGAGGTCTGGTGTTTGGTTTAAGGGGTTGCACGTGATCATAGCCGCTGCGCGTAAAGAGGATCGTATCTCTAGTGAATTCCTTCACAGTACAAGTCGTCCTACATCCCTTTTCTCTCTCCTTTCCCTTTCCCTGTTGATCTCGTGGATTATTAGTATTGTTATTTGTATTATTCTTATTATTATTGTTGTTATTATTATTATTATCGTTTTTGGTGATGGCGAGGCTCCATGATGGCGGCAACGACTTCACGGCGTCTGCAGTGACGAGTGTGTTCGTCGCCCCGCGAGAACGTTTGCGACTGCCTTCACGTAGCGAGTCCAGCACTCCAGGCCTGAAGGAACACCTCTATCTATCATTAGATAAAGAAAGAATAAATAAAAATAATAAAAAAGAAACGCATTTTTAGTGAATTAGAAAAGTAAGTGAAAGATTTGGGGGGGAAAAAAAAGAAAAGAGAAGTTATAATGTTTTGTTTTTTTTCGTTTTGCTTCTCTCCCTTTGATTTGTCACCTGGTGGACGTAAATGAAACAGGACAAGAACGCGGGGAAGTGTTGTGTAGTCAGACTTTATGGATGTTTAAAAACGCTTCTCTCTCTCTCTCTCTCTCTCATCTATATGAGAGTGTACACATACTTTCTTTTTTTTTCGTGTTTTGTTTCGTTTTTTTTTTTTTTTTTCTTATATTTGCTGTACATTTCCTTGTTCACCTTTCTTTCATTATTTGATTTATTTTTTCTTTTGTTTTTTTCACCTCTCCTTGCGTTCATGCATTCATTAGTCATCTCATCTCTCCTTCCCTCTAGTGATAAATACTACTCAATCCGCCCTTTGTAATGAACTCCAACATAACAACAGAAAAAAAAAAAAATCAACAATAAATAAATATCAACAACAACAACGACAACAACAACACCACTGCCTCCTATCACAGGAATGGGAAACACTAGCAACAATCAAAACTCTTTCCTTTTTCTTTTTTGTATATTTTTTTCTTGCTTTTTTTTTTTTTTTTTCTTTCCTTTTCAACTCGCCCTCACTCCTCCCACTTCGTGTTGTTCTTCTTTTCTTCTCTTCTCTTTTATTTTTTCTTTCTCTTTAGCGCTTCTGTACTTCACTTTCCTATTCTTCTCTTTGATTCAATTCGTCTATGTTTACAACATCACTTCTAGCCGTCTTTTCCAGAACTGTGCCTCAAACAGCCGGGCACTCTGTCCACATACACCCACAATCGCCATCCACTGCACAGTCTTGCGTGTGGAGAGCAGTAAACAGAGAATGTCAAGAGCCACAAAGAAGAGTACACCCGAAGACGGAGTGCCCCCACGTTTTTTGCCAAACCACAACAACATCAACAGTGAGATGTGTGAAGGCAACACCGGCAACGCCGACACGACACCCCACACCGCCTGTTGAACTCTATCCGGAAGTGAGAGATGACCAGAGACATAGGAATCATGCAGGAGGGTAATCCAGAGAGTGATGACAGAGTACAGCAATACAGGAAAGTAACGGAAGTGTCCTCGTTCCAGATCTGTAAAGAGTATACCATCCTCCACTAATAATAAGAGAAAGAGAGAAGTGGCCACATGCAATCCCGGTTCATTGCCATTACACCAGACATTCAGGGTTGTTAATGCCGTAACCGCAATAACAGTAGAGTAATTCACCACCACACCTGCCTGTTCCACCATATCTGAACTAAGCGGCAGTGGAGATGGGAGAAGGGATTTACCAGCCAATCGAAACTTTAATACAATAGCTATAAAGAGATTGGTCACAGATGCTACAGAGAGTAATCGTTTTCGTCCTGTTGTATAGATAGACCATGTGAGAAGTGAATTACCAGATGTGTATTCGCGTATATCCACACCACCCATTATCACGAGTGTATACACCATAAAGCAAATAGAAACACCATAAATAATCCAACCTTCATTAGGGGCCATTTTGCGGTAGTGAACGACATCCAATGTTAAGAGTGAAAAGAATACAAATCCATACACACCAACAAAGAGAAGAAATGTCGGTACAGGCAATAAATACATGGAAAGACCAACAGAAATACATCCTGTAGTAATAAACCAATAACAGGCACGAATCAAAAAATGTATAGATGTCATTGGAAGAAATCTTCCCAAAACAAGAAGCATCATACCAAGAGCAGAAAAGTATCTACTGATATCATTCACATATTCATATTCAGTTACACTTAAAGAATCTGCAATACGTGTAGGTTGAGTAATAAGAAGAATCACACCTATTGCAAAAACTCCACGAACTACAGATTTCCATTGATTCATAAAGGAGTGTGGTATAGTATGTCGCACAAGGAATGGATAAATCATACTACTGAGAAATACCAAAGAAGTTCCAAACACTACATGTATTCTATTAGAATAGGCAAGACGACTTTGTGTAAGAAATTCATATACGGCTCTTTGGAAATTACGTGCTGTACATAAAGTGACAACGACAGCACTTATAATAAAGAGTATTGTAAGTCTTTTAGCATTATTACTCTTCATTTGTTTTCTTTTCTCTAATTCAAATAATACCACAACATACCCCATAAAAAGTGCTGCCCACCATACTATTCCAATCTCTAATGCATGAATACGTTTACTATCATGTTCATCTGATTCAGAAAGATAATATGAACCTGTCATCTCTACAAGGAATGTCATAATTTTCGCAATATAAGAAGCTGCTATAAAGGCAGCAGAAGAAATACCAAGTGTTTCATTCTTATAAAGTCTTGATGCTAACATCACACCAACAGCCGTTGTAAATAATACAAGTACTGCAGGATAAACATTTTCCTCCTTCTGTGAATATAAAACGTGTTCTACCCATGCCACTTGTAAAGAATGGGCAAAAAGTGCAATAACAAAAGGTACTTTATTTGTAGAAAAAGATACCGTAAAGGCTATACAGCTAAGTACATAGCACCATAAAACGTTTACTGCCACTATAGGAGTTGGAATAACTGCAGATTCCCCAAGCACATGTAAATCCACAACAATAAAGGAGAACATACGATACATCCACCACATAAGAAGTAAACTAGAAAAGATAGTAAATGAAACCATTGGTCCAGTATTAACACGATCCATAAGGAAGAAATTAATAGATGTTACGCATAATACTAACAGTAGAATAAAACTTCCTGGTAATCCTGCTGTTATTGCTATGAAAACACAAGAAATAGCGGCAGCTGCAACCAATGAAACGCGTATTTTTATATATTTGGAACTATGTGTATCTTCTCCCCGTTCATCTGCATCTAGTAATTTTTTAAGCAAATATATAGCGTAAATTCCAGTATACATCCCAAGAGCCAAAAAAATACCATTTAGTGGAGGAGATACTCCATTAAATAGGAATCTGTATCGTGAATGTAAAATTCGGTAAATGGCCCAATGTAATCCCATCACTATACTAAGAATGAGAAAAGGTCTCCCGTAAGTACCAACAACTTCTTGAACACCAAGTGGATCATTCTCAAGACGACTTTTTAGTGTTTTTCTTGTAGGAAGTAAAAACCACAAACTGCGCCGGGGATTCCAGCAAAGGTACGCGATAGGACCACATATCATTCCAAGTGTATTAAGTATGTTAGGAAGCCATGCCTCCATCCAGTTAATTTGAAAAGATAAGTAAATAACAGAAGGAAGAACTAATAACAATAGAGTAAATATCACTGACTCAGGTTTCCCATTAGCTGGTACTGGTACCACTTCATCTCTATCATCATTCTCTTCCGTTTCCCTATCTGCTGTTTCTTCCGCACCAATAGAACGATGTCGTTGCATAACAAAACTACTATCCATTGGTTCATAAAAATAATGATGTAATGCACACATAACTAACATAAACCAAGCAGGTGCATGACGTGAACCAACAAATGCCGTTACAGTAGATAGCAAAGATGGTAAAACGAGGATTGGGGTAATACCAAGCTCACAACGTTCCATTACAAACATAAGTTCTGGAAATGAAAGTTGAAGCCAGTGAAAATGCAAAAATGCCGTCATGGCTGATGTAAATAGTAAACCAAATATACTTAGTATCATGCATAAAGGACCCACACTTGAAATAGAAGCATGTAAATTAGATAGAAAAAGTGCTACACCAAATAGTGTGGTAGTACCAATAATAGCAAGTACACTTCCACGACGGTAACCAGCAAAATCCGCTACATAAGTTACAACACATCCTGTTAACAACACCGTCAAAGCAAAAGGTGACATTAATGGTATAGCTCCAAATAGACCTATTAACAATAACAAAACTACACGAAACATATATTTTGGGGATCCTGTTACAAACTCCAATGGATCCTTATCTTTGTCTTTATTATAACCAGAGTTTTCAGCCAGCATTGCACCTGCCTCCGTTCGGGATACTTGTTTAACCGCCTCACGTCGTGCCTGTTCACGTACCCAATACTCGGCGGAAGACTGAATTGCCGCGTTAGCGTATTCCTCACGCTGCGTATGTGCATCCTGAAGCCCAACAAGCGGTGCAACAGTAGAACTTGCTGAAGGCGGAGCTCCTTCACCCCACGAACTTCTACTGTTTGCATATTGATGATGACTTTGGCCATAGTAGTTATTCCCGACGTTGTTGTTGTTGTTGTTGTTGTTACTGTTGTTTAAAGGATCGCCAGGTGGGGGAGGAAAACTCGGAAACGAAGGGAGTTTCCCTTGTGAAGTCTCATCTGGTCTCATTTCTCCTTGAAGGTCAGACCGCAGATGTTTTCACTGTCTATATTACTCTTATTCACTACTACTTTGAACCCCTTCTTACACAGTCCAAGTCCTCCCGTTTAATATTTTTTTCTTTGTCTTTCTCTTCTTATTACTTTGTTTTCTTTATTTTTTTTTTCTTTCTTTCTTTCTTTTCTCTTTAACAATACCTACGCTCGGCGACAAGAAAATATGTGCGTACTGATCCGTTGGTTTTCAGAAATAATAAACCTAAAAAGAAAAAATATCATGGAAAAGGGGAAGAAAAAAAAAATAAAAGTAAAAGAAAGAAAAAATATCTAGAGCGCCGAGTTAATTATTGGCAGCATATGAATGAGGAAAACAACAATAATAATTTATAAAAAAAAAAAAAAATGAAAAAAAAAGAGAAAGGATTTAAACGTATTTCTTTTTCTTTCTTTTTCGTTATTCTTTTTTTTTTCTTTTTGGTTTTTGGTTTTCGATTGGTATTCCACCATGTGGGGTTCTCGCTGCTTACTAGTTTTGCACTGAACGCTTACTCGATTTTTTTCTTTCCCCCTCCAGATTTCCTTCTTCTCATTACTGTTTACTTTTTTTTTCTTCTTTTTCTCTTCTTCTTCAGGTTAGTCGTCTGAGTGGAGATGTGTATGTGAGATGAGATGAAATGAAATGTATTTATTCTTCTTCTTCTTCGGCATCATTTCCCTTTCCAGAGCGAGGCATATTTCGCTGCTGCCGCAACTCTCGCATACGCTGCAGTTTTTGAATGGCGTTGATGTCTTCAACGGCGAATGAGACGATAAGACGCCTCTTATCACCGAATAGAGTGGGATTGTTGTTAATAGCACGTAGTGCGTGTAAAGCTATTGGGTGATTAATAAACTCAATAAATGCATATCCCTTAGAGGTTCCAGCAGAGTCCTTCACCAGTTTAATATTCTTAATTGGGCCGTATTTACCCCACTTCTCCTTTTCAACACATTTCTTATTTTTCTTCAAAAATAAACGCACTTGAGTTGCAAAAAGTGTACGTAATTCCTTTTCTGTCATTGTGCGTGGTAAATTACGTATATTCAAACGAGTCGTGCTAACAAACATGTTACTGTTTCGAAGTTGAGCCTTTCTAGCCTCATAGTCCGCCTGAACCATTTCAAGATAACGAGGATGTAAACCTCGTGCGGCTGGAGTATCTGGGAGAATAAGACCTTCCTGTAGTAAATACAAATGCCGTGGATCATCTGCTGCCACCTTTGTTCGCTTCTTCTTCTTCTGTACGGCCGCAGAAGCCTCTTGGGAATCAGTTCTTGATAATACACGATGAACTGTAAAACGGGTTTCACGTATGGTTAAAAATGGATCTCGTGCGGTAAACGCATCTGTACGCATTTTAAACCGCATTCGCTTTGCCTGACAGTGTGAGAGTTCCTTTGTCTTTTCACGCCAGTCTGAGCGATCGGTGGCGGATAACTCCCGTGCATTCTGCTGGGCGTGTTCCATAATGCTGTTGGCCAACTCCACAGATCCACAGTGGAGAAATCCCGTTCCCGCCAGTGTTTTGGTGGCCTTATTCCGCACCAACAACACCCGCCGCACTTTTCCAAATCGTGATTGGAAGAATTGCATCAACTCCGCCTCGGAAGTATCGAGAGGGAGTTGTTTGAGGAACAATTGGGTATCGAGTGGATCCCGCTCATTTAAGCGTTCCTGCTTCTCCTCATCCACATCACTCTGGACTTCACCTTCCTCATCATTATACTCATCTTCATTATCATCCTCATCCTCATCCTCATCATTCTCACGAGGGCGTTTCTTTCGTTGGAATGGTTCCTTCTTTTTACTGTTGCCTTTGCCTTTAGGGTCCTGGTAGGACTTCGCTATGGCAACCTTCCAGTTGGGCTTCTTCTTCTCTAGTTTGCGCTGGATCTTCTTGCGAATGCGCTGCTGTGCCTTCTTCTTACGAAGGGCAGAAGGCGTCGGCTTGCGCTTTACCGTTCCCGTCGCCATCCTGTAAAGGAACTATAGAGGGTAGAGAGAAAGAAGTTAAGAAAAAAAAAAAAAAAAAAAAACCACGAATAAATAAATACATAAAAAGAAACAATAAAAAATAAAAAATGAACATTGTAAAGATGCAGAAGTAGAAAAAAAAAACAAGGGGAATGCAGAGAAAAAGGTTTAATAATAATGATAAAAAAAAAAAGTGAAGACTAGACAAAGATGGCCTAGAAGGGGTAAAAGAAAAATATTTTCCATCTGTTGTCTAACCAATAGAACAACAACTACTACAATCAAAGAAATATATATATATATATATATATTCTTTTTTTATTTTTCCATTTCATCTCTCTGGAACACCTTCTTCTCTCCCTCTCTCTTTCTTTTTCTTTCTTTGGGGGGAGGGGGTTTTTGTCTTCTGTTTCTTTGTTTCTTTTTTTCTTTTTTTCTTTGGAGAAAGGAGGAATATCTCTACGCCCTGTGTGCGTGCGCATAATTGTTGCTGTTGCCTCTGGCAGAATCCATTAATCCATAAAATCATTCAATCACATCTCAGCCAAACGTGTGAGTTTTTGAATGCGGTTTAGAAGCAAATCACCATTCTTGACAATACGATGATAATCAAAGTTTGTAGTATCTCCTCTATACGTGGTGATGCTATCCGAGACGCGATCCATTTTACATGCAATACGTTCATTTGAAATAAATGTTCCCAACATAATATCCAACACCGGTGGTGGAATACCAAAGGCTGCACTCATAGAGTTTAACGTAACGCTACTATATGAGTCAAGGAATTGCGTGAAGACCAGTACACGAACCTCACGGAAAAAGTAATTCACATGTTGTGCGAGGTAAACAATACCCCGAAGATGTTGACAAACTGTGTCGAGTGCAGGAAATACTTCCTTGTATCGACAGTTGTAAATAACATTAATAAGGTGAAACACATCCTTAATATTAGCGCTGCGCACTTCTGGACTATCTACAATCTGTTTCTTTAGTTCTGAACGACTCAGTACAGTGAGGCTAGCCACCACTGTAATGAGAACGAATTCATTAAAGTCCATAAGTTCACTGGCGGCAAAGGTAGAGATGGAATCCAATAATAATTCAGAACCTTTCTTAAAGTCACGAATAAAAACGTGATAAAGACCTTCGTAGACTTTAAGTCGATTCCGTCGTTCCCAATCACCATCTTTCATCAATCGGTGTGCATCACGAATTCCATTAGCAGCAATTTCATTGTCAGAGAAAGCAATACCCAGCAGAATACGCTGAAAACATAAATCCAATTTAGGACCTGCTGCCAGTGTCTTTCCAGAACACTCCATATTAAACTTAAGACATTCTTGTAAATCCCCAATTCTGGCAAAATGTTCACACTTAGCAAGAAGACCCTCACGAACCTCCACATCACCAAGATTCTCTTGAGCATCCTTAATACGTGCATCCAATTCCTCCAATTTCTTTCCATTAATAGTATCCATCTCATTTACTTTGGCTTCATCAAGAGTCCAGCCAAAAGACTCACAGAGAAAGCGTAAATAGGGACCCATGTTGTGATCATAGACTTCTTTAAGCATCGCCACTCTCGCCTCCTCACGTTTGTCTGCATCCACGTACTGTGAAGTATACATATGGCGCAGATGCAAGAGGGAAATGAGAGGATCCATTGGCACGGGTTCTTCCACGGGAAACTCCTCCTCCTCATTATCTTTGTTTACAGCTGCTGCACTTGTTGGTGGTGGGGGTGGCATGGTCTTTTTCTTCTTCTTGTTGTTGTTGTTGTTGTTATTGCTGTTGTTGATGATTATTTGAGAGACACTGAAAACAGGTTACCTACTATATATATATATATATATATATATATATATATATATAGTATAGAAAAGTAATGAGATGATAATAATGGTGGTGTGAAGAAGAAAGGAAACGAGAAATGAAGGTTTTGAAGGTTTGAGGAGGCAATAAAACAAAAGGAAAAAAATTAAACAGAATAAGATTCAGAGATAGAGGCAAAATATTAGAAATGGAAAGAAGAAATATTAATTAAAAAAAAAAAAACACACAAAGAAATATCGATACAACTGAAAGAAATAAATTAAAAAAAATGCCTTGGTCTAGCAATATAACGTCATATTCATAAGAAAATAACAACTATAAACAGAAAAAAAAAGTAAATAAAAACCAATAAATAAAAAAAAAATAATAATAATAATAATAATAATAATAATAATAATAACAATAATAATAATAAAGAGGGAGGATACTCATCTTAGGTCATACAAAATAGTGCATTTGTAAAATAATTAAGGGAGAAAGGAAAAGAAGTTTAATATTGTGGTACAATTGACTAAATATATATATAATGCATAATATATATAAGAGAAAAAACAAGAGAAAAAAAATGGTGAAACAGTAAATAATTTTATATATTGAAAGTCCTCTTCTATTTATACTTCTTCTTTTTGTTTTCTTTTTTCCTTCGTGCTTACGTTCTCCCCCTCATTAATAGTACTGGCACTTCTTTAAAATAGCATCTGTCTGTGCATCTAGCAAAGCCCATGAGTCTGCAATCTCTTGCATCCCCTCTGATGCCTCCCCATAGTCGATATATTGAGTACTGTGTTCCCCACTAGTGACACCATTATAATAATAATAATCATCATCATCATTTCCATCATCATCATCATTCTCATTCTCATTATCACTGTATACTACAAAGGAGGTAGATAAACTGTATCCTCTTCTCTGAGGCTGACATGAGCTGCTACCCGTTGGACGCAGTGATGTAATGGACGACTGACTGCGTGTGTATTCTTCTACACTTCGTCTAGACGGTCGTGGTGCAGTTGCGAGTGTTACTGCTGTGAGTGGCTCTTTAATAGCCTTCATAAACATCCTATCACGTAATGCAGCCTGTGAACGTAATAGTTCCAACTCTGTATACATTCGAGATTCAGCACTCGCCACAAGTGCATCATTATCCACTATCTGTGTGGAGATAGAACTGTTATGACTCTCATTGTCATTCTTATTCTTCTCATATTTACTGTTTCGGCTCATATCAATACTGCTGTCTCGTTGTGGATGGAAACTACAATTCGCTGCCATTTCCTCTTCCAACGCTTCTCGCATTTGTTGTAGGTGTTGACTGCGTTGTTGCATCCAATTCTCTGTGCGGGCCAACATACGTTGAATGCATACATTGGATGATTTTCCCTTTGGTGTAGTAGATGAACTCCTTGATGTTTCTTGTTGTCGCTGTGGTAGTGGACGTTCATAAATTGGTCGCCATGACTTCTTTGCGATGATTCTACGTGCTTTTCTACTAATCTCTGGATGAAATGTTTCTTCCACATCTATTTCACTTCGTAGAGCCTCAAGACGTCTTTGTCGTTCACTTTGATTTAAAAGATCTGCTACCAATTTATCTGGTGTTCGGGGTTGTAGTTTCTCATCTCTCTCACGTTGAGAACTCATATATCGTGCAATTACATGTTCTTGATGTTGTAGTTGAAGTGTCTTCACTAACTGTTGTTGTTCCTCCTTATCAAGTTCATCAAAGTTAACACGTTTACCATTCTTAAGAACTGTTGGCATCGAGTTTGGTTGAAACAGAGGTTGTCCTGTGTTCTTTTCATACAGTTGTTCCTTTGCTTGTTTAGCGTAAAAGGCTCGAAGTTTTTTTAATCGCACCTGGCGGCGCTCCTTATCATCCTCTACTCGCTGCAGATATGCCCTCACAACACCTATTCCTCTTCTTTTGTTGTTATTACTGTTATTACTGTCATTCCTACAAAGTACAGTATCATCCTTATCGTCATTATTTTTATTATTAGTATTATTATCTTCTTTATCCTTTATTAGATTCCTCTTATCACACTGTTGTAGGTATATGAGTGCATCCCCAACTGCGGAATGAATGACAGGATGAAAAGAAGGAGACGCCAAGACATCTTTCATATTGTTCTCTACTGTAGAGTCAATTAACATATGGTGATCTGAGGCATCAACCTTATTAGAAGTTAGAGAATCAGCAGAGTGTACTGTTTTCGGTTCCCATAATTTACTCCGTTGTATCCCTTTCTTCTTTAATTTTTCTAGTACCTGCCGACTGCGGTCGTTCATCTTCCATTGTGTCATTATTTCATCTTCACCACGATTGATACGATCCTGTGCAACTTTCTTTTGTAATCGCATATCTGCTGATTTCCTCCATTCAATACATTTCTCCATAAATGTTTTGAGTCCTTTCGGTGCAATCTGTTTAGCAGAATCCGATATAGTTGGTTTAAAGGTACACTCCTTCGTTTCTTGCTCTATCATTGCCTTTTGTTGTTCCTCTCGCCATTTTGCGATATCTTGAATTCTACGCATTCCTTCTTCATGCAAGATATTACCCCGCGCACGTGGGGTGGGTGGTTCACCTAAGCGCTCCAGCATGTGTAGAAGAGTTGAGACTTTCTTTACAGGTGCATCTGCTAGAGCGGCGTGATAGAGAAGGGCTACGGCTGGTGGAAGATGAAGTAATTCCACTGGTTGATCATTAAATACAGTAACCTCCTCGGATATTCGCACACGTTTTGCAGTTCCTTGGGGAGTCTGTGATTTTGAAGGAGATGTGCTGCCGAGGAGTTCGAGCAACTCTGCAGTGGTGTGTGTATTGTCAAGAATGAGGCGATAGGCATCATGGTGGATCATGTCTTCATCTACACGTATTATAGGGACTGGGGAAGTGTCCTCTTGCATCTCTCTTCACTCTTCACTATATTGCTGGATTAGTATAAATGAAGGGGAAATAAACTAAAAGAAGTAATGGGAATAATGGAAAAGAAAAAAAAAAAGAATAGGAAAAAAAAGAATTACAGAGGGTTGTATTATACGCTGGTAAGCCGCTCAGGATTACTGATATCGCTGAAAATGTAAATAAAACTGTAAAAAAATAAATAAATAAATAAATAAATAATAATAATAATAATAATAATAATAATAATAATAATATGAACAATAAAATATGTAATTGTTTTCCTTTAATCGCATATGTTTTTGTTTTTCTTTTTTTTCTCCCCTCTTACTCTGTACCTTTTTCTAACTCGCTTCGAAAAAGAGACTTCTTCTTTTTGGCTGCAGAACTAACGTTTACAGAACCACCAGTAGACTTGAGAGATAACGAGTCCATCACATCGTGCTCCACCACCTCCCCGAGAACACAACCAGTGGAAGATGATTTCTCTACTATTTTCTCTGTTATTGTTGTTGTTGTTGATGTTGTTAGAGGATACTTCACCGCCACAGCGGGCTCATCTGGAGGAACAAACTGCACAACATCACTAAATTTAACACGGCGATTAGAGGAACTCACAGTACTCACTTCATCTGAATTGCTCTTCGCAACGCTAGAAACCACAGAGGCAGCAACTCGTCCTATATCCCCAGGTGTACCGAATACTCCTTCTGTAGCCGTTAAACATTTCTTCTCCTTCTGTTTCTCCTCCTTCTCTGTTTGTGGTATAGTTGTTGTTGCTTTTGTAGACAATTGTGTTTCCCCTGCCTGTCTCCTTCGCAGTTCCTCCTGTACGCGTTTCTCTTTTTTAGCTATCAGTCTTTCTGTCATGATCCGCTCCACCAATTCATCATCCTCAATTCTGTCTCCCAACTCCTCCTCAATCTGTATTAGTTCTTCCTCGGTTAATTGATCGAGTTCATCAATTACCGCCAAATCCTCATTCTCCAATCCCATCAAGAGAGACATCTCATCCGTCCTTGACGGCACTGAGGCCATTGGAGCATCAGAAGGCACAACTGTGGATGCCGCAGGTCGAGAAGAGACTTCCACACTCTCTCTCTCTTTCCCCTTATTGCCATGGATAGCATTAGCCTTCACAGCCTCCACCTCTGCCATTGCCTGCTCCGCGTTTGGGATCTCTGCGAGAAAAAGACTTTGTCGCTCCATTAACGCTTTTCCCTCCGCAACGAGAGCGACTTCTTCTTGTTGAAGAAATTCGAGACGACGACCGGCGATTTCACGTGCTTGCTTTGCACTCCGCTCTGCAAACCAGCTATCACCAAGAAGTACGAGAATATTGTTTGTGTAATCCATAGTAGATTCAAAGTATGCCATTCCACCCGCTACTGGAGCGAGCACAGGCAGTCGACATCTGTCCGTGAGGTTCTGCAACACATCCCGGAGTTTTATGTATTCCTTTATCTTTCTTTTGCATTCCAACAGTTGTTCCTCATTTCGTTTAATCAAGTAGTGAAAGAGTTCAGCCCCTGTGAGGACTTCGCCTTCGTCAGTGTTCGCCTCATCCATCATTACTATAGAGGCTAATACAATACAATCCCAAGAGCAAGAAGAAAAAGAGGAGGAGCAGCAGAAGCAGAAGCAAATAATAAAAAAAATGTACGAAAAAAAAAAAAGAAAGAAGCGTGGGAATAAATATATTATAAGCAAAAAAAAAAAGAGAGATAAAAATACCAAAAGAAGAGATCTGTCCAAGAAAAGACCGATATTTATATATAGATAGTTTTTTTTGTTTTTTTTTTTGTTAATGGCAACGTGAGAAAACTGACTTACATCCTTCGGTAACATATAACCGGATAAACCGTCTCGTTCTTTATTACTTCCATCATCACACATACACACTCTCCCTCCTCTCAGTGGTTTCGTACTTTCTGTTTTATTTTTGTTTTGTTTTTTTTTTTCACTCCCCACATTTCCCAGTTGTTGTCGTTCTTGTTTATTTTTTTTTTTTTGTGTGTGTGTGTGTCTGTGTTTCGTGTTTTTAACTCTTGTCTACCTTCTTTGACTGTGTTCCTTCAGATTCTCTTGCAGATGCAGCCACAAGTGTCTCCATTCGCAGTTTTTCCGTTACGCGATTATAATCATCCTGAAGGTCATCATCATATGGAGTAATGCGAACGGCCTGCTCTAGTAATAACAACGCCTTTCGATAGTCCTTTAGACCGCAGTGGGCCGCAGCTCCCCGCACACATGCCTTTAAGAGTGCATAGACATGACCACTCTGTTCTCCAACCTTTCTCGCTGCTGCATTTCGCTGGCGTATCATCTCATCAGCGTGTTCATCCTTCTCACCACTATTTTCATTATCATCGTCATCATCATCATCACTGTCTACTAAGTTTGTGGAAAGAGCACCAGGGCAACTCAGAGCCTCTGCAACTTCCTTGCAAAAGTCAAGCACATGCGAAGCCTCCTCTAGTGCCTCTTTAAACAAACCTTGTTGAAGTAGAGTAGCACTTAAGTTATTACGGGCCTTTACCTCGTATGGGTTCTCCTTCAAGATCTCACGATAAAGCGCAGCTGCCTCAGCGTACTTTCCTTGGTAGTAAAGTAAAGATGCCTCACGCATTTTATCTTCTAATGGATCTTTCTTCTCTACTAAACCATGATCTTTCATGTATTTTTCTATCAGTTTATAATCCTCTAACACATCTGTATCTTCACCAGGATTACAATACGCAGATGCTACACGTAAATCCTCAATACCACGCTCATAACATTGGCCCCAACAGTATGCGGCACCTCGTCTAGCATGAAGTTTCATCATAAGATAGCGATATCGTTCTTGTGTTAACTCGCTAGCTGGGGTATTTGATAACATTGTTAAAGCCAATGTACAGTCTTCTATAGCTTTCTTGTACTCAAATAAATGAATAAAACATGCAGCACGATTGGATACACATGTTAGGAATGCACCATCACGTTTAATAGACTCTGTATAGGCATCTGCAGCCGCTTTCCACTCACGATGTTGATAATGTTTATCTGCCTTTTCCTTCCAGAACATTGGACTATCTTCAATTCGTGTTGGCTTATACCGACTTCGACGGTAGTATTCCTCCTCTCCACGTGATCGTGTTGGCATTGCTGCAAGTTTTGGTGTAAAATCTATAGGAATATTAACAGTATCAACATGACGCACAGATGGAACTGACTCTTTTTCTTCCTTTATGTTAGGTACAAGAATATCACCAGGACATCTCGGAATTTGTCCAGAGGATTCTGTTTCCTTTTCTTTTTCTTGTTGTTTCCGCTTTTGTTCATCTTCCCAGGAATAGAGACTTTCCTCGGCCATCGTCTTTTCTTCTTTTACACGACTCTCAATAAGACGTCTTTGTGCTTTATCCACCTCCCATTGTTCTTCTGTCATGCGTCGTTTTTCCTCTTCTCTCTTCCCCGCACGTTCCTGCAGTCGACGGTTGTAATCTTCCTCTACGCGTTTCATCGCCCCTTCTCTTCTTTCACGGATTACATCCGCCCCGCAGGTATTAGTGTCTATGCAGAGATCCGACCAAACCCCAGGCTCTTGTTTGCGAAGTTTAAGCCGCAGACAAGAGCGGTCATCTGGGTCTATGAAGTGTGTAGATTTCCCTACATCAATGGGGTGTAGAAGATCCAGACTCAGTAGATAGGTAGGGGGTGCATTCACCTTCACCCAGAGGTCTGAGAGAAATACATCAATAGCATCTTTTTTAAATCCTTTAATAGAGACACGTAGGAGCACTTCACTATCGGTCTGCTCCCATTCATATAATGGCTTCACAGGCATAATGACAAGAGAAAAGGGATATTTGTCAGATGAAAAAACTAAAACTAAGAAATAATCGAATCCCTATTTCTTCTATTCCTCTCTCCCCAGACTAATGAATTTATATCAATAGAATACAAGGCATAAAAGAAAAAAAAAAGAAAAAAACAATAATAATAAACATTACACAGAATAAAAGTCAACTCATACTATTTTTTCATAGTGTCACAACTAGTAACAACAACACGACAAAGATCATAAATAACGTTCTTTTTTTTTTCTAGTTCCTTTGTGGTATGAAGGGGTGTGATAAGTGTACTTTTCGGTATTATGAAATTCTCCCAATAGATTTTTTTTTTTTTTTTTTTTTACTTTCTAGTTCCTTTTCTCGTCATTTTTTAGCCTACACATCCCATTCTCACGTACTTATAATCTTGTTTTGTCCTTTTTTTTTTTTGACCTCTTCTATTCCCAACAAACAAAAAAAAAAAAAAATTGGACTTCTATGTCATTTAATAAACCTTAGAGACATTTTGTTTTTTTGTTTTTTCTTTCTTCCGTACTTCACTTCCTTCTCCAGTTCCGATTTGCCTCCTCGGGAGGTTAGTCTCACATAAGCAAAGAAATAAATAAAAAAAGAAAAGAAAAAAGAGAAAACTTTGCGTTCCTACAGGTGTTGTCACCACAACAGTGTAACTGTCCACCCCCTTGCAATAAGATATATCCAGCTGCAAAAGAAAGAGAAAGGAAAAAAAAAAAAGATAATACTGACTCTCAAAAAAAAAAAAAAAAAAAAAAAAAAAAAAAGCACTGACAACTGAACCTCGTTGTTCTAAAGTGTTTCGGAACTGAAAAAGAGAGACACACGAACACAAAGACATAAAAAAAAGGGGAAAAGAAGAAAACAAAAAAAAAAAAACTAAATACGTACTCACTAAAGAACGCAATACACACATACTAACTAATAGATAAAAAAAAAGTGTATAAATAGATGCTCACGAAAACGGGCAAGTATAAAAGCAGATACTAAACACTGATAGAAATATATGTCAACTCACACAAAGCCAAATTTGTTATTACTTCCTTTTTCCTATATTGTTTGTTATTCATTTCTTTTTGTCAACGCAGAACTACCACCTATTATCTCTGTCTTCTACGGAGGGTGTTACCCCTGACAACCACTGATACAATTTTGATATGGCCTTACTTGCAAGACTCGTTGTACTATCATGCAAGCTCTCAACCACCTTGTATGGTGATAGTTTCAACGCATTCACCCAACCTGAGAACGTTATTGTGCTTAACGCAAACCACTCTTCTGGAAGGACCACATAAAAAGGCGGTAAGCCATCCTCCAGGGTCATCTTATCTGAATCTGGACAAGATGCGAGAACGGTGAGTATGGGGTCCTTTGGTGCCCGTCCATCTCGTTCATATCCGGCTCTCGGCACTTCCGTGGATTCATTCACGCGTCTTCGATGGACACAGCAGATATCGTAGCACCTATCACATAGTCTATTCCACGGTGAGGTGCATGTCTGTGTTTGTCCTTTTCTGTCCGGCAGAACACCGGCATGTGAAGAACAGTGATGACAGTAGATAATGCCACAACGTCTGCAGTGGTGGCGTGTAGTGATAAGTGTAAAGGCACGGTGGCAACTCTGACAGCACGTGACTGACTCGTTGCGTTGCCATTGTTGTCTGTTGTATGGATCGCTGACATCCTTTGCGATTAACCGTCGCTCCATCAGAGGAATGGCAGATGCCACTTGCACTGCTGTCAATAATGCCTGGTTCTGTGATTCGATCAGGCGTTGCAGTGCCTTTTCACGATCCTGTGTGTGTTCTATCTCCAAGTTTAATATGGCTTCCTTCACTTCCTGTTCGTAAGACATCGTCACACGATTAGCTATCAACATCATACGCACTCGATTGCGGATGAATGCGTTTAGTTCCATCGTTCGTGTTACTTCAGGGGGTGGTGGTGTAGTAGTTGGAGTTGGAGTTGGAGCGGGAGCGGGAGCGGGAGATTCCAAATCCACCGCTGCTGGAGGACTACTCGTTTCTTTCTCTTTTTCTTTCTCTGAGTCTGATTCCTTCAAGGCTTTAAAGGGGTCCGCTCCCATATTGTTAGCATTCCCGAAATCACTAGCAAGAGGCACTACACTTCTATCATCCTCATACATTGGCCACTGAGTCACGTCATATGTAAGCTCCAATACATTATTACCAAATATCATAGAATTACCCTCATATGTTTCAGTTTTATCAATTGGAACTTCATAACCTTCATATTCCTCCTTTGATTCTGATGATGTTAGTACAGCATCAACATTTTTCTTGGATTTTCCAATCACATCACTGAGTATTTTTTCATCCTCTATCAACACAAACCCATCATGCTGCATGGCATTAAATTCATCACTGAGCTTTGTACGCTCAAATGGTGTTAGTTTCTCTACTGCCTCTTCAACTTCTTTCTCCGTTATTTCAGGGAGAGATCGACGTCCCATCCAATAGAGAGCTTCATTATCTGGCATTGACGTTTCATCACTTTTTTCTTTTTTCCCCTTTTCCATAGGTTGGAATAACTTCTCATGTACTTTAAGCATCACTTCTGCTGCTTTTTTATCTGCAGTGTTCGCAGAATTAAAACATACTCTTTTTAGTTCTCTCTGGAACCACTCAAGTGAACCCTTCCTACCTGGATCATTCATTGCTTGAGAAAACTTATAATATTTTTTTATAATATCGTCCATAGTAAGATTATTAGCATTCGCATCGTAGTCTACAGAGTCTGGTTTTTCACTCGCCTGACATTCTGTAGCAGAAAGAAATCGAATATTTTTTGGTGAACCCCTATTTCGTATACTTTCCGCCTCATTTCTCAACGTACTTGCCTTTGTAGTTCTAACTGTGCGCCCATTTGAGCTTTCTTTTTCTTCATTCATTTCTTTTTTCCTTCTCTCTCCCTCTCTCTTAATTCCACTTCGTTTCTATCAATTGGTAGAATATGCAACGTGTGCAAAGAGAGACATACTAACGATTCAAGCAAATTATAATGAAAAGGGAAAGAAAAGAAAAGGAGGTTAGAGAGTTTAGCACATAAATAATAAGAAATAGAAACATTTCCAGTGTCATTCAGAAATCCTGATAAAATAAAATAATTTCCCACCATATACTATACCGTTTTTCTTTTTTCTTTTATTTCTGTTTTTTTTTTTTTTCGCAGACTGCATACTTTCGTTGTCTTTTGAATTCGTTTCAAATTTTTTTTTTTTTCATTCGTTCTTTCGTTCTTATTTCGTTTACCACAAATATATCAAATAGTTCAACAGAGAATATATATATATATATATATAGAGGTTCCTATGCGAAACCGACAATTAGACGCAAGCAAACGTACATTGTAGGGAATACAAGAAGAAGTCCATCAATGCGATCAAGCACACCACCGTGACCTGGCATTAACATTCCAGAGTCTTTCACATGTGCTGCACGTTTCAGTAATGATTGTAGGAGGTCTCCCGTTACCCCTGAGACTCCCAGAACTAACCCAAAAGCCAAGTTTACGAAATATGAATAATACTGAGGTAAAGAAAGCCCTACATAACTAACACAGGAAAAATGCAAAATACTGGCAAATACCACGGCATTAGCAATTATACCAAACAATGCCCCTTCCAAAGATTTTTGGGGACTTATGGAGGAACATAGTGGATACGTCTTTCCTTTTAACGCCCTTCCCACCAATAGTGCCACAATATCAACAGAGAAATTCCCCACAAGTGATGCCAAAATCCATGGCTTACCTACAGGGGTATAATCATAGACGAGAAGTGGAAAGGTTACACCAGTAACCCATATAAAGCCGAAATATTCTAGGCAAAAATTTAAAAAAAGTTCTAAAGGTTCTCTCTTGGCTTTTAAGCGAAGCTCTTCGTAAAGAAACGTCTGTAAAACTTTAGATTCTGTTTCATTCACTTTAAAGGATTTTTTTTTAGAAGTCACAGCTAAGTTCTTCGATCGACCCATAACTTTATCAAAAATAAACATTATGCACTCTCCATCACCATTACCCCATAGAGTACAGAAACACCAAGCAAGAAAGTAAAGTACCAAAAATGCTACAAAAAATTCTGCTCCCGCACATGCAGCAATAGGAAGAAAAGATGAAATAAGTGTTGTAAAAAACGCAAACTTTTCATTAGGAACAATGGGTGTAGTATATTCCTTTGGAAGAGATTCGAACGGCATATTTTCACCTTTATTTTGAAGCCCCATAGCCAAAGACATTTTTATATGTCGTTTTAGACCGGACCATTCAAGCATTCCAAAGAAGAAAAAAAACCAAATGAGTAGCGTGCATGTGTATTTGTTGTACCCTGCAAGAACCACTGCACTGGGACCCACCACAGCTATAGTAATAGCACGAATATATAGATTTCCATCCGATATCATCATCCTAAGGTTAGATGTCAGCATTTTCACAGTATCAGATGACTTGAAACCATTTTGGTGAGACATTGTGTTCACACCCAACTACTTAAACCCCTTTACTATACGTCCTGAGGAGAAAAAAAAAAAAAAAAAAACCATAAAAGTGAACCAGTTGTAATAATAATAAAATAAAGAAAAAAAAAAAACAAGGGTGCCTCAGAGTGTAGAGAACTCAGAGAGCTTTACCTCAAAAAGTGTTTTATCTCCGATTCTGTATATCTTCGGGAATGTGAATATAAAGATCCGATTTCCAAACCTACACCTCTGCTCTCTCTCTCTCTCCCACTATATATATATATATATATGCATCTGTAAAAAGAAAGAAATAAGGGGGAAGTCTAGTATTCTCCATCAGAGCCGTTATCAACGGCACAGTATGGACACTTCCGGGCACTCCCACTTTCCACAGCGCGCCGCACCACAACTGCCATACACGCTGGGCACAACCAGGCCAGTGAACTCGCGTTCCCATCATGTGTCTCCGCCACACTGCCGGCATCCCGCGGCAAGTTGAATGGCTGCACAACGTACTGCTCCACCAACCGCTCCCGCAACTGTCGAGTCGTCATGGCGCTAATATCACTCGTGAGCAATCGGCCCACGTGCGCAAAGGCGAAGGCCGGTGCACAGACTCCGCCGGTGGCGTTCGCAAGCGCCTGCAGTCGTCTGGCAACAGAACTGGATTGCGTGGCGGGGCCAAAGACATGCACGGCGGCGTGAAGTTTCGTCGTGGCCACCGCCGCAGCGGAGAAGGCGCACTCCGTGGCGAATGAAAGTGCATGAGTGTCGCAGACATCACTGAAAACCATTATACACCCACCCCGAGAAGGAACCCCAGTATTATTCTTATTCTTGTTGCTGTCGTCGTTATTATTATTAGTATTAGTATTATTATTATTATTACTACCAGGGGTAACGTCATCACCCATCTCATCTTGTGTAATACGGGCGCGGAGAAAGCAACAGGACGTTAAAAGTGCGCCGGCAAGACAGGCCCATCTGTCTGTATCATCACGTACACATCCAGACTTATCGGCATCATCCACACATCGCATAATGGCACGCTGCAAACCAAGAGCCGAACGACCACCGAAGATCTCCATAAGACTATGAGGTTGAGCGTCATTGTTTTTACTACTTAACTCAGTTTCGGTGGTCACCGCAGACATTTCCCTATCTATTCTTCTCATCTTCCTTCTATCACTATTCTCCCTTTCCTCTTCTTGATCTTCTTCTGTTTCTCCTTCCTTTTCTGTTTCATGGGGTGCATCATTCGCACATGAAGTGTACGCATAACGAACACCCTCTATAGGGTTAGCACGAAGAACAGCTACAGATGGTATAAAATCTGGAGAACTATTAATGACAGAATGAAACACCGCAGAGGTACCGTAAACCGCCTGTGAAATAAGTTCACGACTACATGAAGCACCAGTGGAATGCAAAATACAAACACAGGATGACATTTTCTTTATTTTTTTTTTTTTTTTATGTGGAAAGGTGTGAAGAGTCGTTTCTACACCAACACAGAAAGAAAGGAAAAGGGAAAGAAACGGAGAAAGACGTGTACTGATGTAGAAAAGTGTCCCTTTCCCTTCACCAAAGTATATGTTTCCAGTACCCCCACCCCTCCCACTATTTTCTTCTAGTCTACAAAAAAGTAAAAATAAAAGATAAAATAAAAACATATGAATACGCACATAAAAACAAAAAAACAATAAGCAATATAAATGTGAAGGATGTAAATTCATATAAATACAGTAAATAGAGAGCATTCCTGGAGAGCCCAAAACTTCTCTTTTTTTCTTTTTTTTTTTTTGGTTTCATGATACAACCCTCTATTGCTTACCATAAACAATGGCAATGTCACCGGGAGCAAGAAAATGCCTCCAATTAAGAGCAAAGAGATATATTCGAGAAAACAATAAGAAGAGCGTGAAAAAAAAAAAAACAGAAAAAAAAACACGAAGCGTAAAAACAAAAACAAAAAAAAAAACAAAAAAAAAACTATCGACACTAACGAATACTTTCAACACGACGACGAAGTTCAGTTTTGGCGCGTAGAAGCATATTTTCCCTTAATTCATCCAAGGGACATATATTGTCGTATTCCATCACTGCTTTCTCCATGTCCTCAACGTTCTCATCTTCTATAGCCTCAATGACGGCCTTCACAAGCATGTGTTCACGGGTAAGCTCATTAAATTGCGTATCAAGGTCCTGATATTCCTCAAAACGATCTCTCAACACCTCAAGATCTTCCATAATAGATTCACTTTTTATAGAAGCAAGTTGTGCTAAAAGAGCAGTAAAAAAGAGTTTTCGTGCTCCTCCACGTGAAACTCGATCATCTAGTGCAGCTCGGGCTAGTTGTTCATATATTTCACGTGCTCCTTTATAATCTCCACTTCTCGCTTTTATATCCGCCATCTTAAGTGTAACTTCGCTGGCTGTTACCTTTGATCCCTGGCTCTCATAATACTTGGAGGCTTTTTCTAACCACTTCATTGCCTCTGGCACTGGTGTAATTTCACTGAGACTGACACAGACCTTTCCTGCCCTGAATGGCTGCTGATTCTTATCATAATAGTCAACTACACGAGAATACATACGTACTGCAGTAGCTGTGTCTTTAGCCTTTACATAGCACCTCCCAGCCTCTTCGAGATCGCTAATCATATCCATTTCATTTTTACTTTTTTCAGACATATCAGCAGCTCGCTTGTATGCATTGGCAGCCTTTGCAAAATCTGAAGTTGCCTTAAACTGTGTAGCAGCTTGAATAAATTTTTCGCGTGCCTTCTCACTCTTGTCATCCCCAAAGGAAAAGAGAGAAAACTTTTTTAGTGACTTCTCACCCTCCTCCATCAATTGGTCCCCTTTGGATGCCATTTTGAATAAATATTTTCTTTTTTTTTTTTTTGGTTTTGACGAAAAAGTTAGACCTTAATAATTAAGTGACCTATTTCTTTTTTTTTGTTTCTTATTATTCGTTTCCCCTCTTTCCTTAGGAGGGTTTTGCTCAGTATTCTATTAGGTGAGAAAGCATCAAGAAGAAAAGGGAAAAAAAGAAAAAAAAAACCAAGAAACAATAAGTTCATGTGTGTAAACTAATAGAAAAATCCCTACACTGAGGAATTATACCCCATATTATTCTTCACTAAAAACAATACCAACAATAATAACAAAAAACTTCAACATTTCTGTAGCTGATTTGCTCAGTTTTGAAACATTCCAGTGTAACATACATAAAGCAGTCTTTGTATTCCTGCATACTCTCCACAGAAACACAGTCAATAAGTGTTAAATAGTGCGCAACAAAAAATGAATAAAAAAGGTGGAAGAGCAGAGCGGAAAAAAAAAAAGAAAAAAAACATCTTGGAAAAAGTCACGGCAAAGCACTTCTGATTATTCGAATAGATTACACACACGCACACGCACAGAGAGAGAGAGAGAGAGAGAGAGAGAGAAACTCAAGCACAAACACACACGTATATATATATATATATATCAGAAGAGAAAAGCACAAAAAGATTATATCCCCTTATTATTTAAAAGGATATGAATCTGTTTGTTTGTAGCATATAATAGCAAGAACTTTTTTTTCTTTCTCTTTTATTAAGTTTTCGTTTTTCTTTTTTACTTGATACGTATTATTCTTCTTCTATATGTTCTTTTCTTTCTCCTTATCTTTCTTTTTCTGTTCATTTGTGTGTATCTGTCTGTCTGTCTTTCTCTCTCTCTCTCTGTGTATATATGTATGCAAGCCTTTGCAGATGAGTTTTTATTACTCCTTTTCTCGGTAGTGTCAGCAAAACTTTTTCTCTATTAATACCGTTTTCAGAGTACCTTTTTCTTTTTTTTTTTAATCAGCCGCCATCGTCCTTCAACCTGTGCACACGTACAAATGTATATACATATACATATATAGTATCCTTCTCGTTTTGGTTGAATTACTTCAGTTCATCCTCTTTTCATGCTTACTTCCTTCCTTTCTGTACACTTTCACAGCCTAATCTTTTCTGCGCGCCCCTACTTCCCCACTTCACAACACACTACAACATTCCTTCTTCTTCTTCTGCTGCTGTTGTTTCATATATATATATATATATATATATATATATATATATATATGCGTGTGTTTGTGTGTGCATACCACGGCACTACTTCTTCCGCGGTGTCACGGGGACTGCGTTGAGTTGCTCCTTCAGTTCGCGGCGGCGTCGCTGTGCACGTTCCTCCCGTTCCCGCCGCGAGACGAGCCGCTGTTCCATCTGCCGCCGTATCTCCTCGTGCGAGACGACCGGATCGCCGTCGCCCTCCTCCGTCACGTCCATGACTTCCTCGCCGCCGAGATGGGCGCTGGGCAGACAGGCCTGCCGCACGAGCCGCACGGCGTTAACGCTCGCCTGTCCACGGCCCCGCACAACGGGGAGAAATGGTGCGATATCTTCCGTTTCGGGAAGGGCAGTATCAATGTCAGTGTCAGTGGTGGTGGTAGTGTTAGCGGGGGCGATTACAGTTGTGGTTGTGGTTGTTCCTGCTGCTCCTCCTGTTGGTGTTGGTGATTTTGTTGTTGTGGGGTTGACGGCGTCCTCGGTTTCATCCTTTTGGGAGTCAGCAGTGGCGGTGAGGGCGTTCTCCTCTTCCTCCTCTTCAGCATGTTGTGAACTGTCCTTCTTAAGGTTGTCATCTTGATTATGGCTGGTCTTTACTTCATTAGGGGGAATGGCTGTGGTGTTAGCGTTGGCGTTGTTGGCGGCAGTATCCGGTCCAGTGAGGGCACGTACCGCCTTACGCTGTGCCACTAACTCCGCATGTGTAGAGTCAAAGTGTTGACGACGCTGGTAGGCACAAATAATCATTGTGGCCCGTTCTTCAATCAATCCAAGAAACTTTAGATGATTTGACTCCGTACATTGATCAACGCCACCCAATTGGTCCTTTACACCATCTGTGGTACATCCAATTTGATGGAAAACTTCCTCTGTGACACTTCGGATGCCTGCAAGTACTTCTCTGTGTTGTATCACAGATGATTGAAGGCGCTCTAACAATGATTCTGTCTCGGCGAGACGCTCCTCAAGTTCCTTGATGAGACGCTGCTGTTGGGCCTCATTATCATGTTCTTCAGCGATAACAGTTTTTAATGTACGGATGTCATGTTCCATTTCCTCTCGGCTTGTAGTCAGTTCGTTGATATGTTTGTAGAGAGAAAAGTTTATCTCACCCAGTGTTTCATACTGTTTCACCACCTTATTCAAATCTCCATCAGGCGCAAAATCTACAAGCTGCTGCATAATCTCATTGAGATTGGGTTCCTGCTCTGTGGTATAATCTGTATCGCTTACATCATTCTTATCATCACGCGAATTTTCCTGTGCCTCTTCGAGAGCCTCACGCACTTTTGCGGCAATTTCAGTTGAATTCATAGTACTTATTTGAATCAAATTATCTGGGTCATTCTCGAATTCGTAATCACGTGCCTCAAGTTCAAGTTGTAGTTGTTGTTGTTCTTCTCGTAACTCTTTAATTTCTGCCATAGCAGCATCCAACTCTCGCACGTTTCCATCGTATTCCTGTCTCTGTTCTTTAATTGCCTTCTGGAGTTGTTCTACCTGACGCAGGTAACCATCACGTTCATCCAAATCCTTGTTAGATTGTTCAATACGCTCTGACATGAGTTTCTTTTTTGCCCTAAGGTCATCCTCCATTTTTTTATATACACGCTGAAAAACACGACGTTCTTCTCGAATAATGTCAATGTGGTCACGAAGTTCCTTATTGTATGAAATAGCATCATTGAAGTTTGTCAACGCCTGATCTAGACGGTTTTCTAGAATTTCCACTTGCCGTTGTACCGCCTCTGCATTTTCCCTTTCAGCATTCACACCTCCCTTTAGTCTTCGACTTTGTAAAAGATCGATGCGTGCCAATTGATACTTTTTTGTTAACTCATTCTTCTTCATTTTTTCAAATTGGTATCGTCGCTCCAACGCATCCACTTCACCTTTTAAAGTGGCGTACTTGTCTGCCTTGACGTAATCATATGGGACTCCAGAAACAGCTGCTATTTCTTTTTTGAGTTTTTCATTCTCTGCTGCAAGTTCTCGAATGGCCTCCTGCTGTTGGGCAACTTCAGCCTGAGCTGCGATGATACCACCACCCACCATCGAACGGCGAACATTGGCTTCTGCAGAGGTGCTATTCCCAGTGACGTGTGACATTTTTTATTTCTTTTCTTCTTCTGTTCGTCTGTTTTCTTTTTTTTTTTTTTCTTGTACTTTTCCTTCTTTTGCACACACTCTTGGCTATTGTCTCTGGCTATTTGCCGGTAGTGGGTGGGTGTGCGTATATATAAATATATATATATATATATAAATATATTCTTTGTTGTGGTGGTAGTAGCCGTTCTTCTTCTTTCTGGCGTCCTCTGAGTGGGAATGAGAGGAAGAGGACCGCTGGTTAACGTACCCACGTGGTCGCTGTTCACCGAGAATGTGATGAGAAATAAAGAAAAGAAAAAAGTGAACGCAAAAAAAGAGAGAAAAAAAGAAAGAGGAAGAAAAGGAAAAAAAATATATATATATGAGAATCCAGAGAACAGTAAATGGTAGTAATAGGTAGTGTACTAGTGTTATTAATAACAGTAGCCAAAAATCAAAGAAGAAGCAAAGAGAAAATAGTAACGAAATATTATTTAAATAAAAACAGAGAATTGCATCACGCTCGGTACCACTCATACCTTAATCATACATACATATATATGTATATATATAATCCGGATAATAAGAAAGAAATAGCAAAAACTGCCAAATTTTCTTATCCTTTTTTTTTATTTTTTTTTTTATTGTTGTTGCTGCTCCTCTTTCTATGAATAGAGTTCTTTTGTACAGGGGAGTGTAGAAGGGGGAAAAAAAAAAGGAATAACACAAGGAACAGAATGATATAAATAAATAAAGAGCCTGAATAACACCGCAATGTGAAAAAAGAAGATAAGGAGGGAGAAAAAGAAAAAAAAAAAACCATTTTTTTTTTCTTTTTCTTCTTTCTTGTTTTTGTTTTGTTTTGTTTTGTTTTTTTTTTTTTTTTTTTTTTTTTTTTTTTACAGTCGACTTGTTTCACTCATTGGACGTTGGCTCTCGTTTGTACCACTCTCTACACGTTCATAGAACATAATGTACGCATCTCGTATGGAATGATCACTCGGTGGAAGACTGACATACGTATCATCATAGTAAATCCACTTATTCACACTGTCGTTCAGCGCAGATGCGGTGTAATGGCCAAAACTTATACTTCCGCTGTGAAATACAACACCGCGCAGTGTGTACTTTGTGTTTCGTTCGGGTGAATCCACATCGAGGAATGGGGCGACATCCAACACCTTTGAGACTTCCACAGGGGCGTTATTCTTCGATGCCTCCTGCAAACGTACTTTAAACCGTTTAAGGGAAACAATAAGACAAGGTGGCAACAAGAATAAACTCCGCTCCACCCTGCTATCACGTAACATTTTACATTTACTACAATACCTAGCATCATCGCCGGCAAGAGTGTCGGGAGAAAATGTGGACCGCAAGCATCTATCCAATGTAACGGTATCTTCAATATCATTATAGTAGCCAGTACTCCTACGAGATGTGAAGTGCATGGCGGCGTTTGGAGGTTGCTGAGTCACATCACGAAGTGTATCATTTTCTCTCAGTTTCCTATCATCATAAGATATAATAACTCTCGATTCACATGTGTGATGATAGGTCTTTAAAGCAGATATCCGACGACGCGTATGTTCATCCCGATCATTCATCGCATCGACAGAAACCTCAGCATGATGCTTACTTGACTGGTACAGTATAGAAAAGTAACGGTAAAAATCTTCACTTATTACATTGTTTAGTTCTTCTTGTTGTTGTTGTTCTTGTTGCTCTTCTTCCTCTTCTTCTTCTTGTTCTTCTTTTTCTTCTGCTCCTTCCTCCTCTTGTTGTTGTTGTTGTTGTGGCTCCTGGGGATAACGCTGCGGGTCCACTGCTTTGTTTAACCTCTCCATCTCGTTCTGAGACCTCCTCTTAAGAAACCGCTTTGCCAATTCTCTACCCCGCTTGATGAGATAGTTTGGATCCAGCACAACTTCAGTAGTGGATGTCGTGGCAGTGAGACGCTCCACATGGCACAATTTGCATTGGGAAGATGAAGTTAAAAAAGTTGGTCTGATAAAAAACCACAGATATCTTCCACTGTCCTCATCACTCTCCTCCTCTTTCTGTTCTACATTCTCATTTTTGTTTTCTTCCTCCTTTCTTGTTTGTGGCAACAACATATTGCTATCATACTCTTGCGTAGGTTGTGGTTGGATAGGAACAGCAGCACAGTAAAGTGTCTGGTGTACTGGTTTAATTGCCTTGGAAGAAATGGCATACATTATGATACGATACCCATCTGGTAAATGCAATCCTGATATGGTACCACTATCATTATTATTATTATTATTAGTATTATTACCGTTACCATTATTACCATTATTATTGGTAGTACTAGTAGTAGCAGTAGTAGTAATATCATTATCATTATTACTGCTGTTAATAGCATTATCAGAGGTCGTAGTTGTATTAGCATTAGTTGTAGGAGTAGTAGTAGTAACGGCATCAGCAACTGATGACTCCACCTGAGAATTAAGCATTGTTGTCACCTCTTTCTGAATAGCATCCACATTGATGAAACCATCCTCATTACACGGAACTTTAACCCAAAGCTGTACCCTAACTCCTGAAGGCATAAGAACAATCACCGGAAATACATATTTTTTGGGTAACGTGGTAACAGTAGCAGCAAGTGTTGGATTATTATCAAACACAATACTCGTCTCACCACACGTTAAACACTGCAGACGAGTTTTTGATTGATGAAAGAAAAGTTTGGGGATAAAACTTTGATTGTTACGAAGAAAATCTTCCCAAAAAATAGTTGAAAGCTTTAATGTTGGGATAGACTTATCGGAATCAAGACGTTCACGATACTTCTTACTACAAACGACATTTAATTCCTCATGTACACGATCAAGAAGTACTTCAATGAATTCCATAGCATCCTGTTGTTCAAATGTATCAAAACGTCTTACTTCTCTCCCAAAAACACATTTCAGTTCACGGGTATTGACGGTAGAAAACGAACCAGACCACATTTCCAACAAAAGGTTTACAAGTTCTTTTGTAATTGAAGGGTTAGCATAGTCAGAAAGTGGTAAAGAAAAAAGAGCGAGTCGCATATTTCGCACATTTGAAAGACATTGTAATGCGCTATTCATATAACACGTATTACCTACATTCATCAGTCCGCATACCCCACATCTTTCTAAAATCGAACGATCCGGCTTTTGTCGAAGAGAAAATTCCAGTTGAAGATCTACTACTCTCCTTGGTGAAACCGCTGAAATAAACTCCTTCTCCTTGTTTTTCTTTTTCTTACTACTACTACTATTACTACTACTACTGCTACTACTAATACCACCCCCACCACTACTACCACTAGTACTACACGGAGTACTATTATTGATCTTCATTCCCAATCTGGCATCGATTTCACTTAATATCCCACCAACTGTTTTTGCACTCCCGCATGGAATGAGGTGCGGTTGCCGTAAACCTTGTCCTTTCAAATGGGTAAGAAATACATCCACATCATTGCCTGTACATAACGCGGCACGCCACTCTGCTATTTGTATTCCTTCACTTCCACTGCACTGTTCTTTTACTTTTTGCAGAGCTCGTCGTGCAACCTCCAAAACCTCAGCTCGTCGCAGAACGTCATCCATAACTATAGATTCCACTTTCATTCCTTCAAATGCAATAGCAATAGAAAACCGTTTCGGTTTCAAACACTCTTTCATATGCTGCCGCATTTTAAATGCACCCTTTACTAAATACTTTGGGCCACCTCCAAACTGAGACCAAAAGTAATCAAAAAGCTCCTCAGGAATAACATCTGCCGCTTCATCTCCCTCTCTCAGAATAAATTTAAATGATTCTCCTCTTGACAATTCCAGCAGTCGATAACTGTTAAAAGGACCAGGTATTGATGGAGCTGCTTCTATTGGTCCGTCTACCGCTGAAGAATCCACAGTATCATTGCCAGAAAGCCATTGTAAAAGTATACGCAACCAATTAACAGGAAAAAGTACGCCTTTCGCCACACCATTTTCTTTTTCCACCAGGTTTACCCGAGATATAATAGAATAAATTCGAAAAGCCATTTCTTCTTTATCTACAGAGGTGTTCATACACCAAACTAAATTCGTTTGACGCTGTGAAGAAAAAACGTAATTTAGGTATGGAAACAAACTTGAAACCCACACTTCAAAATCATGTAGAAGAATCGAATTAAGTTCTTTTATTGAATTAGAACTACCTCCTTGATAATAGTATTTTTGATTTTTATTATAATCCTCAACTAGACGTTCAGTTACGAGTTTAACAGGCTCCTGAATTTCAGATAAATGTTTTCTCCAGTAGTATGATGGTTGGGAATAAAGACTCTCCACGACCCCATTGATCATGTTAATCAAAAATCCTAGAAATAATTTTCTTGCAACATCAATTTCAATCATTGTATCTTCACCTGGAATTGTTCGTTGTCCTTCGTTTTCCATTTCCATCTCCCTTTCTGTATCGTCCAATATCTCTATAAGAGGTTTACGCATCTCGGCGAGCAATGGCATTTCGAATGTTGCCACGCCATCTTTAAATACTGCCACATCACTGTAATACCTTCCAAGACTCCTAGATAATCCAGGAGGAGGAATGTACTTTTTTAATCTACTGACCACTACACCAACATATCTTTCTGTAAATGTCTTTTTGATCTCAGGATGCGTATAATTTTCAATTTCCGTAGTGTGTGGGGACGAATCAAGACCATCACCTGCAGATGTCTCATGTGAGCTTACAGAACCAAGGCTACCATTCTGAGAATTCTGCTCTTCATCGCGTGAAAGTGGAGATTCTTCCCTAGACGTTTCTCCATTATTTACAATAGCGTCGTCACCGATCGGACCTAGATTTACATTCGTGAAAGACTGACTCATGCCTCTTGAGAAGTTCCAAGTGCAGAACCCACAATAAGCTTTTTGAAAATATGTAGGATAAGAAGACCAATGGATATTGAAATGCAAGAAGAATCTCAACTTCAGGCGTGATGCTACTTTGGGAGTAAAGAGAGCGCCGGAAAGGCACACTCCACTCAATTTTCTGCGCGTTTTGGTTTTCTACGTGTCAGCGTTCTCAACGCCTTGTTTCTTTGAATATGAATCCAACACACGATAACAGACGAATAGAAGAAAGAAAAAAGAAAAAAAAAAAAAAACACAAAATAATAATAATAATAATAACAATTATAATAATAAAGAAAAAGACAGAGGTATGGTATAACGTTTCTGCCCGCTCTCACACCACGTGGACAATACAGTGGAAGAGTAGACTACGAATCTTGCTATTATTTGAACCGCTTATTCCCACAAATGGACCTCTCCCAATAGGGAGTATACATAAATATATATATATATATATATATATATATATATATATTGTGAAAAAAGTGAAAGAAAGCAAAAGAAAAAAAAGAATGATCATGCGTTCAAAAAGGTATGGGGTGCACATAAATCAAGGTGTATAGAAGATGAATAAAGGACAAAAACAAAAAAAATGAAATGGGGGCTTGTCCTCTCTCTGTTTCCACAACCTTCTTTTTGCTTACTTCTCTTAATCTCCTTTCTAAATAAATAAATAAATAAAAAACCAGTTGTGCTTTAATCAGTAGCCCGCCTAATTGTCTTGCGTACGACTCGGTGAACATCATGTGCACTGCTTGGGAGGACTTCTGGTTCGCTTTCATCCGCCGCACTTAATTCACGAACAACAAAAAGAACAGCTAGGAGAGAAACCATAAGAATCATTAGAGCTGTTATAGTATCTGAAGAGGTTTGCGTACCCACAACAAACCCATAAATTCCTTCTGATGTGATAACGATAATGTCATTGATTCCATCACCGTTAAAATCTTGCACAATGACTGGAGCCACAGGTGGGAACTCTAGCTCCACCGTTCTTAACACACGACCAGTTCCTGCACTCAGTAAACTCATATACCGTTCTCCTACTGCTATAATAAAAGGGTCCGTCTTGAGGTAGCGCCCAGTTCCTCCTACAGTATCCACAGTATCTTGATTGCTTTCATAAAAATTATATGCAGCCAAGTGTGGAAACGTTACTGCACGATGTTCCCGTTCCCTCGCAGAAAGACCTGCCATTCCTACATCTGCTTCCTGAGACTCACGAAGACCTGGAAAAAAGGCTTCTGTCTGTGAACGCCACATGACCCTACGACGTGAGGGATCCACGCAAGTAACCAAACCAGAGTCTATCATAAAAACTGCATGTCTTTCTACTTCAAATAAACCTCGTCCCTTCGTTGTATGCAGTTGTACAACCAAAGGTGTAACACCTCGGGTATTTTTTGACATCATATTACGGCTTCCTATAAGTTCAAGAGTATTAAGTGCATGAGGTGCCTCTTCTCCACGAACGTCACCATCAATAAAATGATGTATAAGATCTAGTCGACCGAGAAGACCTTCAGTATCACAAATTGTTGCATTAAAGAGACGATCCTCTGTAAAAGGAATACCTGTATAAATGACTCCAAGACAATCATCAATTAAGTCCACACCATGAACAGAGTGCATTTGCATTCGAGGACCAATCTGAGTGGTAATAGCATCAATTTGAAAATCATCATTAATATCATGGTAATATACACCTGAAGACTTTAATGGAGCTACTCTTGTAATAACATTACCAGTATATAAATGAAATACTTCAATACCATTTTTACTATGAAACACCATTGCATTCGCAGTACGTCGCTTAGGTTTATAGGTAGAAGATTTTTTACTCTTACTACGCAAGTTCATTACACCTAATTTTTCTCCTAATGCACCATAATCTTCTTTATTCATACGAATTATACGGTCCTTGTATTTTACAACTACCCGATCACCCGAACGAAAGGTACGTTTCTTTCGGTTTTTCGCATGAAAAAAGACATGGGGATGAAGATATTCATCCCATGGATGAGCATAACGATGTGGAAGAACTGTAATTATAGCTTCTCGGAAAAATGTCCATGGTTTTTCATGTGCACGATAAGCATTTCTAGATGATGGAATTCTCAAAAGAGAAGAGCTATTTGGTAGCAATTGTTCAACCTCTGTATTATTTACTCCACCAAGAACCTCTTCAACCGCATTTTCTGCATCTGATGTATAGCGCCAGCGCACCTGGCCATCAGCGCCATTAAAAGCTGCAAATAACATCACTTCAGTCTGATTCGGACCAGTGACACGCATAGCCACAAGAATGGTTCCTTCATCTTGCTCCTGTACACGTTCGGGAACAATGCTTACAGAAGCGTGATAACTCTCAATCCACGAATTGGTAAGGGGGACCTCCCATATTTCCCCGAAATTTTCAGGAGAAAGCCGGCGTAACCTAAAATCATCAGTAATCACAACAATTGCGTGACTATCACTTTTATTACTAAGCTTGCCAGCTCCAATAGCAATAATCCTGGAGTAGAAAATCTTCTGATTATCTGAAGCCAAAGAAACGAATACGTTTTCAGAGTTGCCCTGGGCCAAATGTGTCCTATAAAGCTCAAGATATCCATAGATAGTGCTTGCGATAAGCACTGGACGTCCGTCACCCATCAGATCCACCACCACAGGTTTACTTAAAATATACCGCCGTATTTCTGGATCGCTGACAGGAATTTTGAAGCCCCGCCAGACACCGATACCACCTTCTTGGTACCAGCCAAAAATACAAAAGATAATTGCCACACCCACTATCAAGATATCACGAAGACGCATTTTTTGCGACCTTTGTAATTATACCTATCCCACTACTTAATTAACTCTTTCTATGTATGTCGCTCAATTTTTTTTTTGTTAAAGCCGTAATTTTCAACTCTCTATTGTATTCACTTGCAACAGCCAAGAAAAAAAAAGAAAAATAGAGACGTACAAAATGCTATTCTGAAGTGCACAAGAAACAAAAAAAAAAAACCCATAAAAATCCAGCTTGTAAATATTTCAGAATAAAAAAAAAAACACCTCATCTATATACACAAATACACATCTTGCCACATCGCCAGCGAATAACACCACAATTAATGTCACGGTATCACCGCTGTACTGATGCTGCTTAAGGTCAGAGAGATCTCGCACCCCACTTTGGCCACCGGCGTGTACTCAACCACACAGAAGGGGCTGGTTGGT